AAGCAGTCTGCCTGAAATCCAGGAGCCTATGACCTGTGGTGACTCCAAGCAGCTGAACACATGGGCAATAGAAATGTTCATGGACTACAGCCAGTGCTCTGCAATTCACAAATTTTTCCCTAAAATCTCAAATGTCTTACTGCTTCAGTAAGACACCTAATGTGACTTGGGAAACAGCCATTCTGGGTAGTAAGGTCTCTACCACAAAGCTTACCAGAAAGCTAAAAAATTGATCCTCCCATGCTTTCGGGCCCACTCCAAATGTGGAGGCCTGATAAAGGCAGGGCTGAGCCACCAAAACCACAGCTCCACAGGGCAAAGGGAAAAAAGACTAATAGGTTGTCAGCTACCACACATCCAGGCAGTGGACAGGTAGCACCTGGACCTATCAGTCTTATAGAGTCCCCCATGTCCCCCTAGTGCTGCACGGTGTAACTATTAGCTCCTGCTTCTGCAAGACACTCAGATTACTTTCTGGGGCTGGGAAGGTGGCTCAGTGGTAGAGCGCTTGCCTTGCATGCCTGAGGCCCTGGGTTCGATTCCTTAGCACCACATAAGCAGAAAAAAAAAGCCAGAAGTGGTGCTGTGGCTCAAATGGTAAAGTGCTAACCTTGAGCTGAAGAGCTGAGGGACAGTGCCCAGGCCCAGAGTTCAGGCCCACCCCTCCCCCCCACAAAAAAAAATCTGAAACAGATGAGACTATGATGGAGCTGTATTATCAATTACAGCCAATTCCCATTTATCTCTTAAAGCAAAAAATCTTTTCTCCAGAAACTGTCCCAATTCTAAATGGATCTAGAATATATTTCAGAAATATTAAAAACACTGTTGTGGCAAAAATCATATTGTAGTTACTCAATGTTTTCAGTGAACTAAAACAGTTGTGTGGCTCAGACCGAGCTTTTTTTCCTTCAAAGAAGACAGGGCCTCAGTAAAGCATGAACACAGCACTAGAGAGGAATGAGAAACACACACCCAGGTCTAACAAAAGCCCCCAGTGTACACTGTATGTGAAGAAGAGAAAAGGAAGAAGAAAGGAGGAACAATTCCACACAGAACTACTTTTTTTCTTCTTTCAAAACTACTAAGAGCTGTCTCTTTCTTCTAAGCCAGGCTAAGGGGTGACTTTTAACATCAAAAGATAAAACACTTGTTACCAAGGAACTTGGCTACACAGCAATCTTGTAAAAAAAAAAAAAAAAAAAAAACGACTGCAAACACTCCCAGAGGCTGTGGAGCGCAGTCAAGTACTTTCCTATCTCATGAGACTGCAGCGCAAGGCAGAGACCAGATGTCCTGCCGTGCTACCAGCCTTGGGGCCTTCCATGGCCTCAGCGAGGTGAGGACTCCTACACTCTGATCCAGCCAGGTGGCTCAGCCCAGGCCCCATCCAAGGCATATGGGCAGAGTATGCTTCCAGAAACATGCCAGGTGCCGGTGGCTCATGCCTATAATCCTAGGAGGCTCTCAGGAGGCTGAGATCTGAGGATCACGGTTCAAAGCCAGTCTGGGCAGGAACGTCCATGAGACTCTTATCTACAATTAACCACCAGAAAACCGGAACTGGTGCTGTGGCTCAAGTGGTAGAACGCTTGCCCTGAGCTGAAAAGTTCAGAGACAATGCCCAGGCCCAGATTTAAGTCCCACAACCGACCAAAAAAAAAAAAAAAAAAGGTTGGGAATATAGCCTAAAGGTACAGTGTTTGCCTTGTATACATGAAGCCCTGGGTTCAATTCCTCAGTACCACAAGAAAAAGACAGAAGTGGTGCTGTGGCTCAAGTGGTAGAATGTTAGCATTGAGCAAAAGAAGCTCAGGGACAGTGTCCAGGCCTCGAGTTCAAGCCCCAGGACTGGCAAAAACCAAAACAAAACAAAACTACAGTCAATTTATTCAATATGCTGGCTACAAAAAGCAAGACTTGGGCTGGGAAGGTGGCTCAGTGGTAGAGCGCTTGCCTTGCATGCATGAAGCCCTGGGTTCGATTCCTCAGCACCACATAAGCAAAAAGAAAAAAGCTGGAAGTGGCGCTGTGGCTCTAATGGTAGAGTGCTAGCCTTGAGCTGAAGAGCTGAGGGATAGCGTCCAGGCCCAGAGTTCAGGCCCTACGACCGGACCCCCCCAAAAAAAAGCAAGTCTTGTGGGGTTGGGGATGTGGCTTAGTGGTAGAATGCTGCCTAGCATGAAGTCCTGGGTTTGCCTTCTCAGTGGTGCTGTGGCTCAAGTGGTAGAGTGCTAGTTTTGAGCAAAAGTAGCCCAGGGACAGGGTCCAGGCTGAGTTCAAGGCCCACGACTGGCCAAAAAAAAAAAAAAAGCAAGACTCATGTTTCATGGGCTGTGTGCTGATTCTGGAAAGCTACAGAAAACCTAATGTGGCTCTTCTTTCTCCCTTATACCACACATACATCTTGGTACAAAAAGATAACATGATCTCATAGGTGTTTTTCCAACAGCTGCAATTTATAAACAAATTTTTATTTATTTTTTGTGACAGGGTCATATTATATAGTCTACATTGGCCTCAAACTCAAAAATCCTCCCACCTTAGCCTCCGAAGGGCCAGAATTACAGGTATTATAGTTAAAAAAAAACTTAAATAAAAAACACTCATTTGCTTTTTTTGGTTGGTCATGAGGCTTGACTCTGGGCCTGGGCACAGTGGGCCTGGGCGCTGTCCCCGTGCTCTTCAGCTCAAGGCAAGTGCTCTACCCCTTGAGCCACAACGCCACTTCCAGTTTTCTAGTGGTTTATTGGAGATGAGTCTCACGGACTTTCCTGTCCAGGCTGGCTTTGAGCCGTAATCCTCAGATCTCAGTCTCCTGAGTAGCAAGGATTACAGGTGTGAGCCACTGGTGCCTGGCTCGCTGTTTGTTTTCTATCCTGAAATACTCTGATGGTATTTCACTAATGACATGAAAACTTACTGTGAGCACAGACTAAACAGGAATTGTTTCCATCAAGCCTTAAAGAGTCCATTATGGACTCTTTAGTAAGTGTCAATGACATACTCTGCATATAGGGTAGTTGTATTTCTTTTGTTACTTTTTATTTTCTTTGGGGAGTTAAAGGTTGTTGTAATGGTGGGCCTAAGTAACCCATCACAAAAGGATCCCAACTATACATCACTTACAATAACCATAATGTTTATAGTGCCAGGGTGGAAAAACACCAGTCTGGCTCATCGACATCCTGGAGCTGCAGAGAACAGCACCAGACCTAGCAATGGCAGTGTTAGACAAAGCTTCCTTTTGTTGGTTCCAAAAGCATCAGCAGTCTCTCTAGGACACATTCATCCTGTTGAAAAGGATTACTTGGCACAGCTCACTTTCTTGACTCAGACTCCAACAATCAAAACTGGATTTTTAAGTGGTGGCAAGTTGTAACACCAGCCCACTCAAAGAATCACCAGATCACTGAAAAGCCGCCCCGTTCCACAACTATCAGTTTCTTTATCAGGAACACTGTTTTGTTGCAAAGCACATTCTATCCCTAACATAAAGGTAGAATTCATCTGGAAGAATGTGGGGCTTTTTGGGTTCCATTTGGTGCTTAGATTTATGTTCTGCTATTTACTTGGACAGACCTTCAGAAAGCTCTAATTGAGGTGAGAAGCAGTGTGTTCGTTTTTAAACAGGACGTGTGAACAGCAAGTAGGCATTTTGGTCTGAAATCCCATGGTGCTGTTTCAATCTACTGGACCCTGCTTTCTGGACAGACTTCCCTTCCCAGAGGTGGCATCCTAGGAAAACTGCTATACTACTTTTTTGGCTGTGGGTTTTAATACTGGGAGGGAGAATGCAAACTGAACATAGGCAGCAAAATTTAAAGTTCACTAACATATGTATTCCAAAACTCTGAACACTAGATGATACAGTCTACCAGATATATACATTTTTTCCCTGTGGGAGGGAAGAGCAAAAGCTTTTCAAAGTTTGAGTATTTACTAAAATTCTTAAAGAAAACTATGATTTTAACTTCACATCTTGGCTGTGTTTCGACAAAGGAGAGGCTACTGAGAGTGACAATCTCCTGTACGAAGCCAGGGGTCCATCAATGTCTACCTCCCATCCTAGCCTCTGTTCCCAATCAAGACCATTTACTTCCCAACCAAGCAAATAGGGCTAGCACAAAACCAGCATCACTGCAGCGAGCCAAAGCATTATATAGCCATTCTAGCAAACAACTGTGTAGCCTCTAAAAGGTTACCTTTCACATTTCAGTGGAAAGCAAGTGGACATTTCTACACATGCTTCACAGTGCAACCATAGCACTGCAACACTACAGAGGTAAGTGTTTTTCCACATGGCCCCCAGCATGGAGATGGACAGGGCAGGGGTGCTTCAAAGCACAGGGTGGTCAATATCCAGGTCAGCAGGGTGTAAGGCATACATGGATAGGAGAGGCTGTTGTAGGCAAAAAGTAGCGTTATGGGAAAGATTTCTAATTGGCAGGACAGAAAAGGTGCTTGATGCTCCAGTTTTTGAGATAGTAATCACAAGAATCCAGTTCAATCTCTATTGTGAACATGTAGGGCAGAATCAGTTTCTATCACTGTTTCTCTGGATCTGGGCTGAGGCCATATGCTCCTGGCTTGGTAATGGGAAAGAAAACAGGTTTCTTACTGTTCCTTTCTTAGCATGAAAACACAGCTTAGAAAACAGAAGGCCTTGAGTCCTGGGAGTGTTACGAGGGTAGCTAAATTCTTCCTGTACTCTATATAACTACAGTCCTTGACAAAGGAATAGAGAATAAACAAGGGAACATGCTTAGGTACTACATCAAAAACAAACACATAAATTAACTGGAAAGGTCTCCATGCCAGAAATGTTCTGAGTTATAAACAAAATTAAAAAAAACTTCAAAAATTAACCAGCTAAATTCCTCTAAGTCATTTATTTACATATTATATGTTCAGTATATAATGTGTAGATAAATGTATCCTGTGTAAGTGACCAACCTATTGGACTGAACAGCATACTGTAGAACAAATTCTTGCAAAAATTTCATCTTACATTGGTATCTTTTAATAAAAAAAAATAAAAATCAGAGAAAATGTCTGGTCAGGTTGGGATGAGACAAACAGGAATACTTCAGAACCCAAGGTAGGAAAAACGATTTGCTTCTCTTTAGGGGGGGAGGAGTGAGAAAAGGAGAGACAGTTCATGCACAAAAGTACTTACATATTACTTCCCCAGCCCCCACCCTCAATAGAAAGAAGAAAAGCCCATCACTTAACACCAAACAGCAACATTATCAATATGCCCCTCTCTGCGGCCCATCATGCCTTTTTGAAAGAAGAGGTCTGTGAAGAGGTGAAGAGAGCCAGGGTGAAAGGGAGGATCTGCACTTCAGTCTAGTTTCCAATTTCCATCTCTGACAGGAAGTCTTCAGTCATCTGATGCCTGACATCGAGCTCTGAGAAGAAACTGAGTATGTGGGGGCCACCACTGGGGTGCCGTTGTTGGCGGAGTAGCCTTGCCTCAACGTCTCAAAATACGAGGCCTGCACAGGTTTGTGATACTGCAGCACTTTTACAGCATCTTCTATTTTAAACCATTCCCGCTTCCTTCCTGCGGAGGCAGAGAGAAAGAAACTAGTACAAGAAATGAGGACAATATTAACACAATGCTTTTCAATGCTTTTAAAATACATTTTATACAAGTTTTTCCCTTACTTTCTTTTCTTATAAAGGTAATGTGCTCTAAAAATAGAAGTGCCTTATATAGAAAACCCTGAGACTAAGTGTGGTGCTGTCACCCCAGAGGGAACTGCTGCGGGTGCTTTCCTCTGCTCGTGCCCTCTGGCTCCCTTGCCTTTTTGCCTTGCATAAATCCAGCATCCCATTCCATGTAAAAATTAATAAGAGTATCAGCTACCAGAATTACTAGGATGGTTGGATTTTAATAATACTAACTCTTGTATTTAAAGTTTTTTTGTAGAGTGCTAGCCTTGAGCTGAAGAGCTGAAGAACAGCACCCAGACCAAGTTCAAGCCCCATGACCAAAAAAAAAAAAAAGGGGGGGGGCTGGGAAGGTGGCTCAGTGGTAGAGCACTTGCCTTGCATGCTCGAGGCCCTGAGTTTGATTCCTCAGCACCACATAAGAAAAAAGCCGGAAGTG